CAACCTTGAAACATACACACTGCAAAGGGGAAAAGCCCTAGCAGACTACCAAGGTAGACACAAACCGGAAGTGAACCGAGCAGGGGTGAGTACTTATGGAACTACCGTGCCAGAGCTATCAATTGCACTCTGCACTATCTGAGATTGTCTCACTAGTTGTTTGCTTATTGTCACTTCCATTCAAAAACTTACCGCACATTTTTGATCTTAACAGTGACATCGACCTTAAAGAGCAGTATCGACTTGTCGAGCTGAAAAAGATGCTTTCCCAGTATGGAATGAGAAGCTTTCATGTGTCCTATGCTGCACGGGCTAAGGTAAAATGATTATATGTACATGTCCACGAAAATGGAACATATGAAGTACATTTGTATTGAATTGAGAGCCCTGTTAGGTGTACTACACTTCTACTATTAGTCATACTACTAGTCATAGTAGGTGTGAATTTGCCAGGTTTGCTTGACAGTATGTGTTATGCAAATAAATGTTGTACATTGATAAGTTAAGCTTGGCAGAAATTATAGTAGAAAGATTTTAATTACTCGGTAGTTAGTTACCCATAACTATTGACAGATGGGAAGCAACCCCCCTAAAATCAGGAAATACAGTGGAGATCCAAGTAGTTCCACTTTGACATATTTCTCTAGCTTCCTTCTGAGGTACCAGCAGTCTAGAGATACGTATGTGTTGCAGGTCAAATTGTTTTCACATTAATATGTTTCCAGTATAAGTTAGTCTCTTACAACCTGAAGATTAGAATAACTTAGGCCCAGTTCAGGGGTCGTGCCTCTGCCGTGCCGAACTTAATTGCAATTTGGTTCGACTGTAGCACGGCAAAGAAACAACTCTGATTCAGATGTCGTGACAGAGTCGAACCAAATTCGGCATTTACTGATGCCTCGCAACTATTCTCCTAACTCCCCGTGGGAATGCAATCTCGCCAAAATAAAGCAATATAATTTTATGAATTTTGTTTGGCATGACAGGAGCACGACATTTGAATCACTGCCGTGCCAGAGTCGTGTAGCACGGCAGAGCTTGTCGAACTTAATCGCTTTCTGAACTTAATGCAAAAGTTTGATTCAGACACCGTGCTTCTGCCGTACTTTTGTCGAACTTAATTCCTGAATTTAGTTCGGCACGGCAGAAGCACAACGTCTGAACTGGGCCTTAGAAATGTTAAGACTTTGTCAACATTCAATCCAGGCTATAGCGAGATACATCTTAACAAGAGACCAGCCAACTGTAATGGAAGATGCATTGAAGGTAACTAAACGTGCATGCACAGTCTGCTGTTTCTGTGAGGCACTCCTGTTGTTTTTTTCTATTTATTCATCACAAAGAGCTGTAGGTGTAAGACCTCTCCTTATCTACTGCTTTTCTTCAATGTCATTTATTTCCTATGACCATTTAACTGTACAAAATACTCTTTATAGGTGGTTACTTCCTACAGTCATGTCACTGAAGATGAAGCTTATGTATTTCGACTTCAAAAATTATGTCTGGATGAGAAGGTACACAAATTAGAACACTTTCCCTTGAAATAGTGTAAATCATAAGTTAGAGTTATATGACCCAATTGTTCTTGGTCATCTGAAATATGTTATGTGTTTCTCTCTTTTTGTACATGTAATCAGCAGTATGAAACAGAGTTGTGTGTTAAATAGTGTTTCCAATGTCCTGGACAACAATATTTTAGTTCATGCAACTTGTCCTCTGTGTTTGAGTGGTGCATATCATTTTCACACTGCTTCGATAGTGTTTGACATTTTGTTTTTCAGCCTGCTGATTTTGGTGTTGAGTGTATGGCACAAAGGTATAAGGAGTGTACTAGGCGGGATTGGAGACACAAAATACCTTAATTGTTTTGCTATGTGCTTTGAAGAAAGTGTAATATTACAATTTCTAGTTTTTACTTGAAAGTAAATGTTTTACATCTGGATTTACTTTCAAGCAACATTGGCCCCATTCAGCCCCTTCAAAGGAAGACCAAACAAACTTTAGAATGTGGTAACATACGTTTTTGTATAGATTACCTGACAATAAATGATAGCACATGTTTGTTGTAGATTCCAGCCTGTTTGGAGCTGCTGGAGTCACTTGCATTACAACAGGTAGAAAAATATGCACATGAATTGGTAACTTGGCTCTGTGGGATTCTAGAGAAAGACCAAAGTGACAACCAGGTTGGGTTTGCATTAATTTTTACGTTTTCCAATTCTGTAAATTGTAAGTTTACCCTTTTAAAGCTTTGGACTTTTCGATGTGATGAGGAACTTCGATCTGAATTTGAAACTAGTTACACTGTAGCTAACGTTTTCCTTTTTTCGCTGATTATTTAACATTTTCAACACTCTGGAATGACTCCAACTAATCACCCCCAAAGAAGTCCTTACTAACTCTGTACTCAGTTTTTCACCTCTGGCTGATGCCACCTGGGTTAGGTTTTCTACTATTTTTCCAACTCTCACTTATGCCATGACAATCAATTTTAGTGCGTGGCCCCATTAACTCATAGCTTTAATCTTTACTGTGGATAAGTTAAGTCTTGATTGGTTGGTTGGTTGGTTGGTTGGTTGATTGATTGATTGATTGATTGATTGATTGATTGATTGATTGGTTGATTGATTGATTGATTGATTGTTTTCTAGATGCTTTGTGTCTTGTCCTATCCCCATGCTATCCTTCCCCTTGACTGATGCAAGAAGGATTAGGGCTTGAAAGATGCCTACGTCATGTTCCATCCTCCTATTAAGTTGCCCCTCGGAACGATGTCAGAAAGATGAAGGTTTCCTCTAGATGCCTCTGCTTCCTCTCTCTCCCCTTTTATCCAACCCCATTGACTTATGCCAGAGGGATTAGGGTGTGTGTTTTTTTTGTCTCAGCCTTGGACTGACCAGGGTCTGTTTCAAGTTCTTTGCTCATCTTCAGCTTATCTAAAAGGATGGTCAATATTGTGTTATTGATGTATTGGCTGCATGATCCTGAACGGTACTGTCAGTATATGCTAAGATATTATCAAATGTTTAGGACTGTAATTCAGAGAAGATAGCTGCTGCTCAAGCAGGAGTAGCAATTTTGAAGTTCATGAAAAAGCATGGTAAGTTTGTAAATGAGAACTATTTTCTTTTCTTAATTTTTCATATTTGTTACTTTGTTTTCTTATAGCATTTTCCTATACAGACGGGTTGTTTAATTTACTAATTGTTTATGTTTTTTTTGCCTTTTGTGATTTATAGATCTCTCCTCCTTTGTGCAAGTGGATGATTCTCTTTATACACTGCAAATGATATCTGCCCTTCAGGTGAGGCTTTTTCTATTTTCCAATCTGAATACATAGGATTTCGTTTGCCTTGTACAGATAAATTTAACTCTACATTTTTTTACATTGTTTTTTCAGAAAGAATATTCATTATTTTTATCTGTGGAGGAGTACCAGATTCCTGAAATCAGGAATGGGCTGTTTGATCAATATCTACAGCAATATTTAGGATACAGCGACAATAACGTTCTCAATGATGGAGATGAAAAGGTAAGTACTAGTGCTTATTATGAGGCAATGGAAAAAAAAAAGTAATACTTGATCTTGCTTTTGAGTAGTGCAAAGATTGTGTTTGGTTTATTGGGCATTGTCAAGGTGTTTGGGTTGGTAGGGTGTTGGAAAACCTAACATTTTGAAATGTCGAGGGTTGCTTGTGTTTGACCTGCTCCAATCCAATGGAGGAATTCTATTTCTTTCACTTTATGCTACGTTTAGAAGCCAGATGTTCCAACAGACTATAGTTGCAATAACCAGACATTGTTCCAGTTGGAGTAACGGAACTGTTTCATTTCAAAGCAAAGTAGATTGTTTTTTCCTGCCACGCCTTAAAGATTTCTGAAAACAGCAACTGAGGTCTCAGTGCACCATTTGAACTGAAGCATCTGCTTTCTTTGTGTTGACTTTATGAATTGCTGACGTGAATGCCGGATGATTTGTCGTTTTGAGCTTATGAGACTAGCTGTGCAAAACACACACTACATGTAACGTAATTAACATAGCAAGGAACCCTATGAGATGAGGCTAACCAGTTGCCTATTACATAGCTAGAAGGAGTTGATTTCAGGACCACCGAACACAAATCGCTTTTAGCGGCAGGGTGGAGGCCGGGATTTGAACCCGGGAGCTCCCAATTACACTTTCAGCACCGTAATCATTAGGCCATTCCCCAACAAAACTAGCTAATGTGATCAGACCACTCTTTCAGTGCTTTGACAATTAGCATTTAGGGTCATTAACCCGCACAACAAGCACTATAATCGAACTAAAAAGGTAAAGTGTTACCTCTCACAGTGCCTAAAACCTTCTGATATACCTGGCCTTTATATTTGATCTTTTACAGAAGGATCCACAAAAGATTAGCAACGAGGTACTCTTTGGGGCAAAAGATGTCAGTTTGACAAAACTATTTAGGTAACACAACTTAAGTTTTAAACATTTTCTTACAGCCATGTAGGATGCATACAATCAGCTTTCAAATTGTCAGCAGTCAAATTACCTGTACTTGATACCCAAACTGTATATCAGGTACGTTGTTTATGACTCATTAGACAGTGCATATCTGTCGTCAAAAGTTCAAATTATCAAACTCCTAATTGAAGTCGTGTTTTACTAGAAGTTTAATAGAATCCTCGTGTACTCTTGTTTACAGACTTGGTGAGCTGGTGGGTGTATCAAGGGAAGAAGTAAGACAAGAGTTGATGCTGAAAGCGCTGTCTAGAGGCGATGTATCTTATGCTCTAAATATGTGCAGGTATCTTATAAAAAACCTTTGAACCTTGCTTATGATCTGTGCTTGTAACTGTGTTGCTATTGTCTACAAGAGGTCAAAGCATTATAGATACATTGGTACGCTAAGATATCTAGATCGACATTTATTTAAGTCGGTAAAAAGCCGTGAGATATCACACGTCCAACATTTCTCACAAACAGATTACATAAATAAGTTTTCATGTCTCAAAGAAGAACTTCACGTTGAATGCGAGAAGAGTAATTTTTCATATCTCCAAGCATTTGTCTATGATGCACAGTGTACAACGTTTGCTATGAATTGGACATGTTAATAAAGAATCATCTGCCAATTTCGGAAAACTTTCAACCATTTCGTGAAGATTTCCAAAGATGTTGCGAGATGGTTAAACGTTACCAGATGTATCCAGGACATTTTTAGACAGATTTCCAAAACTTACTACCAACATATTTTCTTAGATAAGTCAACTAGTACGGGCTCATCCCTGGCAAGGCTTTTAACTTGAAATGTTATTATTTATGTACCACCAGCAAGCTATCCTTTGCCATATTTTGTTTAATCAAAACGTTAAAACACTAGGTAGAAGATTGTATTCACCAAGTTTGCAGGATTTAGCTTGGCTAGAAGACGCTCAGCTAATTTTTCTAATTTTCCATACATTTGTCTGTAATTTTTTTCCCACGAACCGCGTCCAGACGTCTGTCTGCCCAGCCAAATTTTATAGACAGGTGCATGGAAAATAAGAAAAATTAACTGAGCATGTTCTAGCCAAGATACATCCTCCAAACTTGGTGAATACAGTCTTGTACCTAGTATTTTAACGCTTTGATTCACAAATTGTGTAAAATTCCATTTTAGAAAAAGTCATTTGCCATCGGATTCCCATACAAACACTGTAATTTCTGACCACTTTGCCTACCCGTCGGGAGCCGTGGTGGCCTCATGGTTAGTGCGCTCGTTTCCAGAGCAAGCGGTCCGGGTTCAAGCCCTGGCCGGGGACATTGTGTTGTGTTCTTGGGCAAGACACTTAACTCTCACAGTGCCTCTCTCCACCCAGGGGTATAAATAGGTACCGGCGAATTGTTGGGGAAACCTAACAAATTGCGGGGGAGTGACCTGCTATGGACTAGCATCCCGTCCAGGGGGAGTAGAGATACTCCCAGCCGCTTCATGCTACAGAAACCGGAATAAGCTCTGGCAGCTATGAGCCATTCGGCTCCAAGGCTTCTCTTGCCTACCCGTCAAGGTGGCGTCGAAAACCGTGATTAGGTCTTTAATTCTCAAGAGCTATAGTGTACTGAGATTTAGTGTTCTCCAGGTTGTTTGTTCATGCTTATAGTCTATGTCACGGTGCCGTCGATGGGCACCTGGACATGACCAGGATTTCATTTAGTGGTATTTGCCACTCTCTGAACATTTTGGGAATTAAAATTTTCTCCATTATCTATCACACTTGTAGAAGTAAAATCTGTCATCATTTGTGTAAATATTATTGCAGATTGCCCATTACCCTCCAACCATATGATCCGTGTCAAGCTCTTCTTTATGTCTTAACAGTACTTTTACCACTACTTTCAAAAGAGATCACTTTCATTATAATCATAGAACTTATGGACGTGTAAATTGTCTGTTTATAGAGAGCTAACTGACAAAGCTCCATGTGAATCAACTGCTTGTTCCTTGTACAAAGTGGCCCTCAATCTCTGTGAGAAGCTAGCAGAAGGACAGTCCATAGTCACTGACAAAAACAAGAATATATGTGATGTGACATACACTATACATCAGCTTCTGTGCCAAGCCACAACACACTGTTCACCTGGTAAGTAGACTCGGCGAGGAAAACTGCAATATGGGGCTGGCCCAAGAGGTTTTTCATCGTTTTAAAGCAGCAGTTGGGACTTTTCCAAAGAGACTAAGTATTTTAAGTTAGGGAAATGCCTGGACAATAAGATGAGAACGAAACTATAGAAAACCCAGCTTAAAATTAAATATACAGAAGAGAGTTACCATACGAAAGCACTCATAAAGAAAATGACATACCATAGTTTACGCTCCGAAAGTACCAACTTAACCCAAAAGAAATGCTCTTAAAGTAGGGATAAACGTTGATGGCTGTTTGAAAATCCCAAAAGCGATGACGATCCAAAGGTAGCCACCTCAGATGCAATTTCACTTGTTACTAGAAACAGCAGAAATAAGCTGAACCAAAATGATCTGATATTTGTATTAGATGGCCCACATGACAAGGACGATACACTGCTCTGTTTGGTGTGACATGAACTCTTTTGAACAAGATCTATCCCGTATTTCGTTCTGTATACTGAGGACAGTTTATATTTATTAAGGTAGCTCGCCCACATAGGCTACATGTTCTAGCTACTTGATGTAGTGACTCTGGTCCGTAAAAGCTACGATCTTACAAACGTGCCAGTAAGAAAACGCTGCTAAATCAGAGAGTAACAAAGGTTGTTAATATCGCAACGTTGCAGCAGCATAGTGCCATGTTAAAAAGCGAGTGCAAGTAGAGGTCATCTAAAGAAAAGATGAAAGAAGAAAATTTATGTAAATTTGTCTGTAATAGAAATATCAACTTCGTTTGCTTTACAGTTTGAAGACAAATCACCATTTGGGTGAAGTCTTCTTGTATGATGTGTCAGAGTTTGTGTACTAGACATAAAATGTTAGATTTAAATGTTTGTTTAATTCAGTGAACATTCACCTCAGCATCAATGTTGATCACATGTGAAGGAAACGCAGAACAATATGCACCTGAAATATTTTGACTCAGCTTGGCGTGTTGGTCTTGGAATAGGACAAAACCATGAAGGAACAAAAACCGAAGTAGCTGCAGGACTGTGGGAATTCCAACTATAACTGTAACTTATATTTGTTTAAAATTTTTTTGTTTTCTATGTTTAGAATTGTTGTGTGACTGTGCTGAACTGTGCAAGTGTTGTCGTCTGACAGACTGTGTGTATTCACAGTGCGAGAGTGGAGATTATGGATTTTCTGTTCAGTCAACTCCAGAAAAGTGAGGAGATTTTTGCCTCGTATTTTTTTAATGTAAATTGTCTGAAATTATTATCAGTGCTCATGAATTAATGCACTCAGGTAGTAGTAGAAAGGATGACTGGTGCTTAAAAATGGTTTGTGCAAATGGTTTTTCAAATAAATTAGTACATTCACTATTCTTGTTCATCATCATCATGATCATCATCGTCGTTATCTTTGTCATCATCATCATCATCATTGTGGTTTCTTCTCGTCATCATTGACATAATTATCACTTAAAATTGTTTCCCTTGACCTATTAATTAATTAATTAATTTAATTAATTAATTAATTAATTAATAAACCCTGCCGTTTTTATCAGATTTATATTTTTGTTGTCTTGTCCCATTTAGTTCCAGCCAGGGTGCATTTATCGAATGGACATTTGGTCAAAGATTTAAAGAAGACTGCCTAGTGTTGGACTCCTTTGTTGCTCTGCCGTTGGCTGCTAAAGTTAGCATGGCTGCTGTTCCTGGTAAGGGTCACGTTTTTAGAGGGCTACTATGGACACAAGCAGAGAGCCTTGTGCGGATTTTGTTTTTGTATTCTTGGGGTAGACCCAGGAGACTTCCTGGTAATGGTCACATGTTTGCAGAGCCGCAATAGTTTTGTAGGAGGTGCAGACATCTTATGGAGACAAGCAGAGGGGTTTGGGTATCAACCTAGTGGTGTTTTTTGTTTTATTCTTTGGTTAGATCAGACCACTTCCTGGTAATGGTCACGTGTTTGAAGGGCTACAATAGTTTTGCAGGAGGCAAAGACGTTCCATGAAGACCTCACTTGAAGAGGGTCATGCAGATTTCAGCATGGTCGATTTTCTAGTGCTTTATTATGTGGCTTGTTCTTGTAGCTGATATAACGCGCGCTCTGATTGGCTAATTGTTGGGTGTTACTCTCCCGTAATGACCACGGGCCGATTACAGGCTTGCAAAAACAAAGCAAAAAGCCATATAACAAACAACTTATTAACCTCAAACGTTCAGTCTTTACGGGAAAATCTCAAACCTCGACCTTGCCGTATTGACCTCACGATCGCTCGGTCAATACGGCAAGGTCTTGGTCAGAGATTTTCCAGTAAAAGACCTCGCTCTCGGCTAATAATAAGTTACTATTCTTGGATTAAACCGAACACTTCACTCTTAGAGTGTCCCTTTCCTTTGTGGTAGACCTGTAAAATATTATATGAAAACCTGACAAACGTGCTATGAGGTAGTGTGCAGTGCATTAGCATTTCATACCGGGGAATATGAGAGAGTAGTAATACTTTTACATACATGTACTTTATACTACAAAAACCTGGCTCCACTATGGTTAGCGAAATGTTGCAAAATTCAACAACTTAGACCTTCATATTCAACAACTTATATTTATGTTCAACAACATATATTTATATTCAACNAGTTGTTGAATTTTGCAACATTTGGCTAACCATAATCCACTCCTTGCATGAATTACCTCAGTGAGGTGACATGTCACGTTGGCAGCTTGTCATGGAAATCACACTTGAAGCCATCCTTAACGGAGCTACGTCAGGGCTTGTTCATCTTGAAAATGTAGCCTAAATTTTTCAACTTTGTTTGTTGTAATCTGTCTGTCTTGATCTTCTCTATCTTTGTCTATTCTTCTTTTCGGTGTATTATTGCCTTGTTGGGTTTTTCCTACGTTAGTACACTATTATTTCTAGTTTTTCTACATGTTGAGGGTAATTTTGTAAGTCACTGTCACAATGACTCAATTATTGTGGCGTACCTCTTTGAGTTCATGTCTCAGGCTTCAGGCTTTTTCTCTGATTGTAAACAGGAGGTTCCAGTCCAGGTAAACAAGGACCATTCTACCAAACCAGAGTGGCTGGAAGATCACAACTCGGCCAAGGTATACTTGCAATGGGCACTATGCTCAATTCTAAATTAAGTTTTCTCTTTCTAACAACTTCTAATCCTCTATTTTTGTTTTCTCTTTAAGATTCGAAGGTAGTTGAAAGTGCCGAAGTGGAGAATCAACCCTCACATTTAATGTTGACCAGTGCTGCTGGACTTAATGTGATAAGACACTTACATGAAAACAGCTTGTGTGAATTGGCCTTGCAGTATTTACTTCAGGTGAGCCGCTTGCTGATTCATGGGCAAAATTTCTGTTCCAATAAGGTTTTATTTTTTGTTGAAATAATCCAGTTTCGATTTAACCAAGACCTCTGAAGACAGAGCGTAAAGACGCATTTGTACAGACTTAGTCCCAGTGAAAGATGAACTATGGACAATTCTGTGTATTGTTTTATCTTATGCTTCATTTTCTTGCTGGTATTTTGTGTATAATTTTCTTCAGATTGATTGTACAGATGAGTTGAAACTGGACAATTAAAAGAGGGGCTTACAATAATCTATACTCGTTGTAATTGTTTTTGTATCTTATTTGTACCCTTCTGAGTGGAGTACCCACTAAATTTATAGAGAACTGAAACTATTTTGTGACGTAAAACGTCATACACATTTTAAATACTTGCACTTCGTTTGATTTGTCCTTTAATGTACATTTGTAGACGCTTGGCCTTTGTCTTCAACACTTTGCGGCAAACAACATGCTAACAAGGAGTAAAGAAAAGGTAACTTAGAAAGACCCCGCAGGTTCATTTTCACAGTCTGAAGTAGGTTACTTGCATATTTTTAAGAGAGTAATATAATTCTTGGTTGTCACGCGATGTCATCGCCACCAGACGGGATGACATTAACAAAAGATTTCTGACTAGCTTCATTTGTCTGTGTCATCCAACATGGCTGCCAGGCCTTTGTCGATTGAATTTCTCGGGATAGCTTACAAACCATGAATTAACCTAAGAAAATACATTGTTTAGTAGTTTAACCTTGGGTGTCATTATGATAAAAGTGCTAGACAAAAAACCCCCCCCCCCCCCCAAAAAAAAAATACTGCTTAACTACAAGAATAATGTGAATAATTATATTTAACAGTATTAAGGACTTCAATTAATTTATATAGGTATTACGTTGTGTGCCTTCTTAGGAGAGGCACTTCATTATTACAACGGTAGAAAAGTCTATAATGAAGTAAAACCCCATACAGAGCTATTAGTAATTGTCATAGCTGTTTGATTTGCATATTTACACAATGTACATGTTTGGTCTTTCAGGAAGAAGAAAGAAGCAGTCAGATTGAAAAACAAAGGCTAGCTAAAATTGCTACAATGGGCATTAAAATGATCCATGAACTTTGTGGAAACCTCTTGAGGAAGGTAGATTTTCTTTATTCTGATCATCTTATTATTTTTCTATTACTTGCATTCAGCTGCAACTAGGACACACCTTGTTCCTAGCTACGTCCACGCAGTTTTTGTTAGAAGTTATGCATGGCATCCTTGGAAAGAAGTTGTTATTACTATTTGTTGCCTAGTTAGATAGATAGTGTTTTGATGTTGTAAATAAGCTGCATGAAGGAATTTTTTAATCGTGGTTTAATAAACTTATCTATCTATCTGGTTCTTTTCACATGTACACATCCCAACTGTGTTAAAAAGAAGTTCGGTGGAACCGAAAAGAAAAATATTCCACTTTTGATAAGATTTTTTAGTTGCCCTCTGAGGACAGGAAAATTATTTTATATTTTAATTTACATTTAGTTGTTCCATAGTTAACAGAGGGGAGTGGTTATGAAACTCCACAAAGTTCGTTGTTGTATGTTTTTGTCCTCTGTTTTGGCCTTGACCGTGCACAAAAAGATGAAAGATTTAAACACAATAGTTGTTTACTACTGACCGAGGAGCTAACCAATAGAAACGTTTTGGTTACGTAATTCACTAATTCATGCATAGTGTATGAATGCAAAACAAAAGATTGTGCACGGTCGTGGATCTTCCAACATAAATCTTGGCGTCTTTGTTTGCTCCCTTGATGTTGGCCGGGCTTCATAACCATTCCCCTCTATTAACTATGGTTGTTCACAAGGCTTCCGCCTGGTTCTCATATGCTGCCGACACGCCTGGGACACAGCCGCCGGCACTGCCTGGAACACCTACCGGCGATTGTTGCCAATGAAAGTATTTTATGTGAACATTTGCGGTGGCCAGCAACGAAATGTAACAACTTGATTTTTCCCACAATTCTTTACATTCAAAACAAGCAACCATATATTAATAACGAAATTAGAAAGCACAGGGCTATATAGCAAATCCGGTCATGAATATGAGGACCAAAGAGGAAAGAAAAAATGCTTGGCAAGCAATCACTAATACAATGAGGACTGATGTTGCTTCAGCTCAACACGATACGATCCATGTTTACAGTTGGAATGGTTGAAAATTGCGCCAATTCGATTTGCATTTCGCGCCAATTTGAGTATGTCGGCAACCCATCTCAGATGCGCCGGGGACCAACTGGAACAGATCGCTGAACGTTGTCAGTTGCAACTGGCGACAACTTTGTATGTTGGCGGCGTATGAGAACCAGGTTTCAGTTTCATTGTCTCCTTGGCGCAGCATTTTAAAAAAGAAGCTCTTCCAGAAAAGGTTAAGAATAAACTATAAAGTGTAAAGAGTACACCCAACCAAAACGGCGAGATCTAACCAACAAAGGAGTAGCAAAACTCCTTGGCCCTCCGCTGCCTTCACCTGGCATGGAAGACACCTCACCCCTTAACTTTTTTTCAGGTATTCAACTGCAGATCAGTAGACCATGATGTAGGACTTGGCTATCTCTGTTCCATTCCGAAACAGACTGCTTTTCAGTACTTGGTGACCGGGACCAATTTTCTGGGTCAGAGCTGTGCCAAGATTCTGGTAAGGAGGCAAATAGGAAGACCTTACAGTGTCTTACTAAAGAACTGAATAAGTGCATGGTTCATTGAAAGTAGTCAATATGGAGGTTGAGTTCACGACAGGCAACTGGCAGAGGTTGTTACTCAAATTTGTTTTGGAAAATGGAAAATATATAGTAAATAAGAGGGAATTTCATGGTGGCAAGAGTGGCATATTATGAATGAAGCCCTGGATAAGTAAGATATTCTTTTTGCCCATAACAACGTTAACTTAAATCCTTGAGCTGTCACGTATTTAGCTCACTGTTCTATTATATAATTTATATATCGTTACTAAAGCTTCAATTATTTAAGATACTGACAATGACTATATGAAATTCCTCATACGATTTTGACAAATCTGAGCAATTGCGAAAGATTTCTAGGAATGCAGAAATTCGCCAAAAAACTTTACAACTTTCTAGAAAGATTTGCAGTTTGAAAAAGTACCCAAAAATTGGTTGAAGATATCTGAAGATACCACTGGATTACTGATAGATATCCAGATTGTTAATTGTTTGTGATTGTTTTGTGATGCTATAAGGTACACAACTGTTGAAGGTACAATGAAAAATGACTGACTTTTTCGTGCTGAAAATTGAAAAAGTGATAGATGATGAAACGTTTGTGTCATTGGTTGTCATCAGGGCTATTAACTAAAGTTAGGATAGAGATAACTTTGGTTAGCTAGTGTGACCTTTTCTCTCTCCATTCAGCTAACTACAGTACAGGTAGGAAAGCCAAGCTTTGATAATCCAAATACAGACTAAGTCAATGACAGCCCTAATTTGGTGATAAATGAAATCCAAACATGGCTGACCATAAAAAGGCAGTTTCTGGTTGTCGTTCTCGCTTTACAAATAAATTAAGAAATGTGGTCAAACTTTTAAACAGTGTTACAAAGGATACTCGTCGATGATGTTACATTTCAGTCTTTTCCTTTTGAAACTAAGGTTTTAACCTATGCCTCCATGTTCTGACATTATCCAAAGGCTAACCAGAACTAATTGTAATTAACGACATCGGTGCGACCACAAAGTTGACTGCAACCAGTAACTACTGTCAAGTGTAACCAAAGACTACCCCTAGCAAACTATAATTAACTATAATAAACGACATACAGCTGTATCTGATCAGTTAGTTGTTATTAAAACGCCCTCCCCTCTCCCCCTCTCTTCATAAGTTTGCCTTTTCAAGTGCTTTTTGTTTTAAGGCCTTTGCCAAGGTTGGTATGGACTACGCTCAACTGAGCAACGAGCCTGCTCTACTTGAAAAGTGTCAGGAAATAGCGACCAATGCAACTTGGGGAATAAAGCTTGGAAGGCTTAAGGTAAATGACGGCTTGCGTTTTTTCACCTGAAAGGAACTGTGTTTCAATATGCCACTTTTTCACACGTATAAAATTACCACAAAACTGAGGGAAAATTGCGTCAAAAGATAGCTTCCAAAGTTTAACTTAAGAGAATAACGACAAAGCATAATAATAAAACAGATAGGCACAAAATTATTATTTGGCGTAAACTTTTCTAGATGGATGACCAATATAATCAGAGGTTTCATTAAAGTTCTCAGTGGAAGGGCAACTGGTTTTCACAGGCGGACAATTCTTTTTTAGCTGAACTTCTTTATAAGAACAACTTTCCTCTAGATGGTCAAACCAGGCAGGCAAAATCATCCTCACAGCCGGTCAAATTGCCTGGTGCCTGGCCCTTAATGTAATCCCTCTTAAAGAATCCCTGAATCTGGTACATTAGACCTTCACGCAGTTGGAGGGTGAGTCTACGCTCTCGCCTTTCTTTATGCTCTCTTAAGCTGCATAAATCTGCATATGTCCATATTTCTTTTATTTATTTTAAAAGGGAAACTCTTTAATTATTAATGGTTCAATCACATTTCTAGATGTCGCTGAAGGATGTCTACAAAAGTGATCGAGAGGAGAAGTTAGCTATTCTACCAGAGCTGATGCAGAAGCAACATATAAGCCTTGAACTGATCCTGGAGTTTTGCAGGTGCTGTAGATAGCATCATGATCGATGGTCCAAACAATTGATTGTTTTTTTCCTTTGTGTGCATCAGCAAGTTTGGGGGGAGCTTGAAGGAAGCGTAAGAATTGCTCGAGGTGCAGACTCTAGCTTCTAGCAACAAGCTTCCCAACTGCATCATAATTTCATGACGCACAGCTGAAAGCATGAAACAATTGTTTTATAACATTGACGATGGAAATGGCAAAGCGATGTTAACTTTGCTAATGCCAATTGCGTGCACCATTTGATAATAATGCACTTTTGTGTATGCTGAGTTCAACAGGGCGGCTTTGCTGGCTATTTTCTTAATATTGTGTGAGAACCCCAGTATCTCTGTTGCTTTAGTAGTGATGTTTGATCCTGTGACTAGCCGTGAGCTAGGATTTCACTTTATGATATAAAATTATAACTGTCGTTGTAACGGACATTGTAATTTGGATTGCGATGAATTGTGTTTTGGTGGCAACTGAACCCAGTCTTACCCGTAAATACTCACTCACTTGGAAATAAATTTAGTAACCATTTACGTATTCAGCTATTCAGATTCACATTTTAGGCCTGCCCTCAGGCTTAGTAACCAATTAAAGTGCATAAATTATTTTGAATGTTTTAAAAGCGCTTATTGGTAGATGTTGTTTCATGGGTGAAATCACTCCATTGTTTTAATTCCATAGACGCTACTCAGTTTCTAAAGCACACGATGCTAATATGTCTATTCCGATGTCCATTCATTACGTCCCTTCTGATTCGATGCTCAACTTTCCCTTGTTTTATAATACGCAGGGCATTTAAATTGGACGAGGATAATGCTTTGTTGACATACGTAAAGCAGCAGTTGATCCCACCGACCCCTCCCTCGACGTGCACCTCTCCCCTACTGTGTGCACAAGACAGTATTGAAGAGCTGCCTTATCAAAGGAATGTTAGGAAAGTGGTTCATAAGATCTCGTGTACAACTTCACTTCTTAAACTACTTGTGCAAGTAGGCTCTAAGGTAATCGAGTCTTCTGTTGTTTACCATACTAATAATGTTTTATGCAAACTNTTTTTTTTCCCCTGTGCTACTTGTCAAACGGACGTCTCTAAAATGCAAACTTAATTTATTTACCCAAGAAACTTGAAAGAACTGTTATGAACTCACCATGAGTGTATGGAGATCTAATTAGAATATGGAATTTTTTTGCACTTCCCTTGCTCCTCGTCCCAGTTAACCTAAGGCCTGATACACAGTATACAGTGGCAGTTCTACATGCCATTGGGAGTTTTTAATTCCGGGAAAATACAAACTAAAAGATCACACGGCACACCTATTATTGGGGACAAAAGGGTTTTATTAACCAGCACACAGCCCGCAAAAACGCCAATAATGCTCCCATAGGAGAGGGAGGGTAGGTAAACAATCTGCACAAACTATTCACAGTGCGTGGTTTTTCGCCCCCAGAGGGTACATGCCAATCAAACCGGAGATATGCTCAGACACTCAATAATTAAACACGAATAAAGTATCCATTATTCTAATCAAAATTTGTAAAAACGTGCCTTACAATGTAATCAGTAGTTGTTATCACGTACATGTAGAAACTAACTTCTAGTCTGTCACAGACCACATTGGACAATGAGAGACCACTGTCTCCACTTTCAAGATCCAGGCTTCCATATCATTCTCTACTCTATGGTGATCCCTGGAAAGTTCTGGGTAAGCGAGCATGGGAACATTCCTCTTCTGTTTGTATGTCTTTCATACGCCTGTTATCTAACTTGGATTACTATAACTATTATTTATTTATATTTTGTCTCAAATCGCAGCCCCAGAGCTGTCTGAGGAAACAGTTCCCAAACTCCTGGGTATTGCCAATTTGCTGAAGGTGAGGATTTCATTTAATCTGTAAAGATAACACTGTCAGGATAAGATGGGCTCATAAATGGTGAAAATCAAAACTATTATCTTATCACTACTATGCTAAAGTACTTGCTTGTGGTCTGTTTGGAAATTTAGACATTTAATAACAATTTCTTTCAAGTCAAGTTTGTCAGAGTCAATTCTAGTTTGTCCTAAGGAGGTGGGTTTTTTTCAGAAACCTCCACCTTGCCGTTTAATTTGATACTTTCCTTTGAAATTTTGGCTCTTTAAATGAGCCCTCTCCCTTATGAATTTCTAGAGGCCTTAGCTCAGAGTTGCAGTGTGACAGTGAATGTTTTCCTCTCCTGGAACTGCACATTCTCCCAAGACGAATCATATACAAGCACAAACTAAGGTCAGGGGAATTTGAACAGCTCAACAAACTTGCACTGATATTTTCCTGTCCAGCTTTCCAGTGATAAGATGTATCTAACAGCCATCCGTAACCTGGCGCGACCTTCAACTGGTTCAACAGCCCCTAGTGTTCCCAGTGATCCTAAAATAAGCCAAGAGAGTGCAGGAGAAGAACCAGGCCAATTGGCGAAAACTTACAATAGTGAAAAGGCCAAAAGTATGCTGTACTCTATCAAGGACAAGGAAATGGCAATTGCTGCCGCCAAGTGGATTGCTCAGCAGCTGCCTCTTGGTAACTGCATCGTTTTTGTTTCAGTTGTAGTTGTTAGTTACCTTGTTCACAGCTTTGTTTTTTCTTTCATGCTTGTCACACAACAAGTAGTATAATTATTACAACGGGACCACTCTTTTTCCAGGTTTTAAGTTATTTTATTTCTTCAGTAACACTTTGCATTACAGTGATAAATTTCCTAAAATATACTACTAACCTACTTTATACACTAGTTGTTTTTTTTTAATATGGAGTTAGTTTGTTTAAAGTTCGGGGTTTTTTACATTTTTGGTAATTTGACAGTATCATTACAAGGTTAACAAGGAAAATTACAGAAAACACAAGATAGAAAAGAAATAAGGGATAAAAATAAAACAATCATAGAGAATACAGACACTTCACAGAACATAACTCCTACATTTTTAAACCCGTTTTATTTATCACATACAGCCAACTATGCTGGCTATGTATTGTGAGTAATAAACAGGAAGTATAATTAATTTCGTCTAGCGGACAAGCATCTTCTCGCTGTTTTATCAAACGTAATTGAACGTAAATAATACTAAAAAGTTTATACACTTGTGGCCGACATTTTTGTGTAAACGTGCTTGTTCAATTGCCAATACTTTGTAAGATCTTTAATTAGACATTTAATGATACGTAAAATAAATAAAAGACCTGCTCTTCACGAACAATTCTCTCAAAGCGAATTACAGACAATGTCCCAATAAAGTCAGGAGCATTTTGAGAATTGACAAGTGAAAAGATTAACAACATGTGTATTTTCCTAGGTGATGAAAAAATAGATATACTTTATACCTGCGTAGACTTAGCAAAGACCTGGAAGGCAACATGTTCTCAGAAGGTAAACTTATCTATTCAAAGAAATGTCTTTCCTTCGTGACTGCTCGTGAGTGTTTGCTAGGAAATAGCAAATGATCCTTTTTCTCTCAGTTACCAAGCGTGTGCTGTGATTGGCCAAGTTAACATTCTAGTTTATGGCTCGCTAAAATCTGAAGCTGCCCTGCAGGACTTGAAATGGTACAAAAAACCTATTCTTATTAAAACGAGTTTGATTTGTACGAAACAAAACGTGCAGGTGAGACACGTATGAATGGTTTCGCACGCAGACTCATTTTCACACAGAGGCAATGGGCAACTCGGACATCTTGTAAATCTTGGGGACAGATAAGCGAGTATGCTAAATATGATTTCCATTTGCTGCTCTGTGCTCTGTATTTTTATTTTTAAGTACATAGCTCAAACACTACAGTTAACTTTGTTACACATTCTAGGATGAAGAGAAGGCAAAGCTTACTTACACCCGCTTGTTGGAGCTGTGTCGCGGAGTGGCCACTGAGCACGTGCTTCAGAAATACAACATATCAGATGCTTCCATTGCTTCTTTAACCAGTAAACCAGCTAAGCTCATTTGTCAACTGTATGAAAATTATGGGGCTAGGGAACCAGGGACTGCCCACCAACCACCAGGTATGAGAATGGATAGGTATTGAAAGTTGGAGTCAGTTTTTGGAAATGACGTAAAATTAAGTACATGGAAGGATAGAATGGTCACGGTGGTTGGAGGACTCGTCCAAAGTACCATACTTGATATGAATTGTGTTCGCTTATAGAAGGGATTTTGTTTTGCTTTCAGACATCCACAAAGCTACCGAAGAAATTGCCAGCGTAAACAATACCAAAATAGAGAAGATCAGGCTGCATTTGATAGAGGTAGGGTTAGTGGTGTGGAGAGGAGGTTACCACTAACAACTAATCAAAGTTTGTTTTGTTTTGGTGATGTTAACACTGTGATGTGAGACTTTGGTTTTAATCAAAGCGACTTCTTTGCCTCTGTGACCTCGTAGGATACTCAACATTAGGGATCGTTAAAGTTAAGTCCTCTTCTAACTTTGCGCTTTCAGAAATGGCTTCCTTCCTCCACTCATACATCAGGAGGGGACTCTGAGGTATTTGGAGATAAAGTTTGTTGGTAATGTCATATTGATAAGCCCGTGTTTGGTTTGCTTGACTTTTATTATTTACAAGAAACTGAAAACTAAGGATGCTTTAGACTGAAATACATGTAATACTTCACTTGTTTTTTTATCATATTTAATTTCAAGGTTTTATTAATATTCCTTTATTATTTTCAATAATTACAGAAATGTAATGTAGAGAGCAATAGGTAAAGAGTGTTTCACATGACGTCACGGCAGTCATATTGTTGTCCCAAAACAATGACACGGCGGCCGTGTTGGTGTACCAAACCAAACCTGTGGGAGTTAAACTCTTTTCTTATGTAAACACGTTCTTTTGTTCCAATAAATTTGCATGGCTGCTGGCCTCGTGGCTGAAATATCCAAAAATTAGGATCATGAGTGAAAAAGTTTGTGGAACAGTAGAATAGTTCAAAAATGTTCAAATGTTGTTGTTTACAGTGGTCAATGCGCTTAGCTACATCTAGCTAGTTCACAGGCATGCCAATTTAAATGAAGGAAACAAATATATCAATTAAACGTAATAGGCTTAAAAATCCCAACCGGCGGGAGGCAGACCAGTTGACTATTTACAAGCATGACCGAGGAGTTGAACTAGGGTCTACCGAGAAACAACTCCAGCTTAGTGGTCAGAGCGGGACTTGAACCAGCGACCTCCGGATTTCAAGTCCGGCGCCCTAACCACTCGGCCACGCTGCCTCCAAATAGTCAATTAAAAGCATCTATCTGGCCTTTTTTTTAATACTGAAGCGCCTGTCATGGCTTCCATGATTTTAATGGACAGAGAACCGCGAAGAAAAAATGCATAATGTTAGCGCTATATGCGCGCAATGTGTGCCGGGTAGAGCTTTGTAGCTCTGAACCTTTCAAAGCTGTTGGGTTGGATTATAACCCCGTGAGTTTGTAATATACTGTTACCCACAATGCATCATCATGTCTTTACCCATGATTCATGGTGATCACCGGTTTAACCATGTGAGTCAACCATGTTGCTTCAGGCAATCAATCGACATCTGATCTAGAACCTCATCTCCTGTGATTATGACTTATTACAAGTTTGTATAGAGCAGTTTTCAATTGAGTGTCGTAAAACCAAAACCAAAGTAATCATTTTAAGCAATCACAAAAGACACAGACAATACAGTGAACCAATCAAAGCTCGAAGTACATGTAGCTGACCCAAAGCGCGGGAAAACGCGTGCGAGTGAGTTACAATTGGTTTTGGTTTTACTTCTGATTGGATGAAAAGGCGGCGCGAGTTTTTTAAGCCAATCTTGTAGCATAGTTGATGCAAAACCAACTGCCTCTCGACACTCAAATGAAAACCGCTCTATATCACGATATGTCATGAGAAAGACTATCATTCTGTGACACAAAATCATTTCAACGTGTTCCTTATATTTGGATGGTATTGTAATACAAGCAAAATCGTTCTGAAAAGGTTATCTTCAGCTCAGCAAGATTTACAATTCACTCTTAGTTTGTCACACCTGCCAGTGATGAGAACAGTGAAAACGAGGAAGATGAACAGAACTTGAGAAGGTAAGGCCAACTCTCTCAGGTCGTACAGGTTCCTTTACATTCTTGATATCATTAGTCAATTGTGAGAGTGTTATTTATTACCAAGTCCATCCTCAAGGTCTTTAACCTCGTCCTCAAGACTGACTTGGAGTTGATGCGTCAAGGAAGAGATGATTTCTATGTGTAAACAGTTGTCTTTTAACGAGGAAAGGTTTTTTAACGTAAATTTAACTCCGTCATTCCTTATTAAATTATGACTTTTTTCCTTTTTTGTGCTTCATAATGACACAGATGTATTAGAAATGTATCATTAAAAATGTCGTTGATTTCTTGCTGAAAAAAAGTGCACATGACTATAATTTTGCCTTCACTACATAACCGAACACACTCAAAGGTTGAGGCATGGGCGCGTTGGTCAGCCTGGCCCAAGATATGTTTTATTTGCGACAATAAGTTTACAACAAAGTGGATAAGAGATACATCGAGTAACGTCCTACATGCGCCAAAGCCGGACACGTAAACCCCAAAAACCTCTTGTTAGGAAAAATAGGGACCGTGTACCCCCGACCAAATGCAGTGGC